CTTCAACTCCCAGAATGCTGGCTGGGGAATTCTGGGAGTTGAAGTCCACCCATCTTAAAGTTGCTGAGGTTGAGGAACCTTGGGTTATGGGTTTCCCTTCACTCGATGCGTTCAAGCAAAACCATCAGTTGGGGATGTTCTAACTCAGATTCCTGTCCTGAATAGAGAGTTGGATCTGAAAGCTTAATTGGCCCCATCCAACCCTAGAAATTTATGATTTGATAATTCCACTAATTTTGGCCCCTTATGTTTTACTGATGATTGAATGCAGTAATGAAATATGGAGAAAATATGTCCAGGAAAGGGAACAATGAACAGTAATTCTTGAACTGATTTTGGAATTTCTCTTAGTGAAAGAGGGATTTAGGAAGAATAATGCTATGCTGTAAACAATTGTAACAGTATGGATCCCACACAGGGACATTGCATTACGCAGGCCCTATTCAGAGTCTGAAGCAGGCAGCCATGCCATCTTGCAGTTGACTCCATTACTAGTCTCCCACATCCTTTTCTGTCTCTTCCCTCTCTAAAATAATCCATTTTCTATGGTCCTTGAGCTTGCTCAGTTCATCTAGGACATTTTTCATTCCTCTCTTCTCCCCTTGTAATTGGATTTTTTTTTTTAAGGATGGGAGTAAAGATTTTGTTATTCTTCTGCAAAAACTAACAAGGCTGAAGAGAAACATGGGAGCATTCCTCTACCCTTTGAAGGGCTATCACAGGGAAGAAGGTATGGATTGATTCTCCATAGGGCCCCAGAGAAGGATGAGGACTAATAGTTAGAAGCTTGACGGAGGGAGATTCAAACTTGAAAGGAGGAGGAATTTTTTGTGAGAGCTGTGAAGTAGTGGAACAGCCTATCTCCATGATGGAGTCTTGAGCACCCCATCACTTGAGTTTTTCAATCAAAGGTTGGACAGCCATTTTTCTGGGATCATTTGAAGATTCCTGCCCTTGACAGGGCTGGATTAGAAGACTAAGTCCCCTTCCAATTTAATGATTCTATGATTCTACCTCTTTCTTCTGCAAAAGTGGTGCAGCCTTAGCGACTTAGGTGTCCGCACTCATAGGTTTGCTCATAATGTATAGAATTGGCTCACCTTGTGACATAGAGCCCATTTGGTGTAGTGGTTAAAGGCAATGAACTAGCAACCAGGAATCCATGAGTGCTAATCCTGTCTTAGGCATAAAGCTAGCCGAGTGACTTTGGACCAGTCCCTCTCTCTCAGCCATGGGAAGAAGAAGACCATGGCAAAATTCTTCCAGAAAACATTGCCATGGACCTGTTGCTGAAGTCACCAGGATCCTGACTTGAAGGCACCAACTCCCTCCTCCCCAAATATTATGGCAATCTATGCTCACTGTCAACCTCACATATAGGTGGAAAATCGGTCAGTATAACTAGAGCTACGTGTTAGTGTCATGTGATGCTTCACCTCTTCTCAACCCCTTTGTAAGAAATCGGTTCAGTAAAATCTATCCACCCTTGCAACCTGCTGCTTGGAAGGGAGAGTAGAGTGTCAAAGAAGACCTAAGGGGTTGTATCCAAGAAAGAAAGGATGCTTCTATCCAGTGTGGTTTTTGCTCCACCCACTGACTGTTTCATCCCCACCCTCCACGCACCCTCCCCAAGAATGAGCCATGAGAGAAGGTAGACTTTTACAGGAAAAAAAAGCTTGTCCATCAGTTCCAAGAAGCAAATGAACAGAGAGATAAAGGCATACAAACCGAAGTGAGTGAATGAGTAAGGGAGAGAGATTTTATTTGCATTTTAGCACCGATTTCAAGGACTGTCCTCTGATCCTAGCAAAGCCAAGAGGCTGACATGCACCCGAGTCTTTTCTGCTGCACAAGAATCACGCAGTGCTACAGGCTGTTTTGAATGAAAGAGAAGACTTTATCCAGGGCAGATCTTTCGGAGGCACCTGTCTACCCAGAGACTTGGGGTGCAACTTCCTGAGCCCAAAGCGATGTGTCCCCTGCATTGATCATTGCCATTAGGGATGGCCTTCCAGAGCACATTCCTACTGGGGTTAGATGTTTGGAACACATTAACAGCCTTTGTCACATTGATGTCCAAAGGTTCATGCATGGATAAGGCCACTACTTGTCTGCATTACAATTGGCCTCTTTGGTTCCTCACCCCCCCCCCCAAATCTGCCCTAGTTAAATATTGGTATTCAAACCTCCCTTGATCTTATGTTCCATTTTAGTGGTCCTGTGCACAAAGACCTGCCCATTGAACTCCGTGTAACTTAATCTTTGAGTAGTCATGGATAGTGAACTACTGTTTATATTTCTACTGCTATAGCAATATTTTATATTATTTCCATCATACTGGAATTAGCATTATTCCTTGAGAAATCTTCCCACCCACAATTCACTGCATTAGATGCCTTGGAACGGTGTTGCCCCTCCTCAGCCGCGAGAGAAAAGAATTTTGCACATGCTCCGGGGCACCCTTGTCTTTTTAATCACTATGCCTGGAATGCAAATTCTCCACCAAGGAAAGATCCCGAGAGCGAAGTCTAGCGTGCCCTCACTTTGGGGGAGCTCTGTTAGAGCCTGTGCTCATCCTGACTTCGTCCCGCATAGGTGTGCTCACCTGATGATCACATACATGACCGAGCAGTTGCCCACAAGTCCCACGATGCAAACAATGGAGTAGACAATCACAATAGTGACCTTGATCCGCATGGGGAGGAACCCATCGGTTGTCTTGTTGTGGAACCAGTCGCCCAAGCTGAAGTTCCACAGGGATGAATCATTCACCAGCTTCGACATGTAAAGGACATCCCCAACTTGAGTGTGAAAAAACGGGTCCATCCTGAATGCACACGATTGTGAGCTCTGGAGTTAGGAAGGAGAGAGAGGGGGAAGAAAAGAAAGACGGAGTTGAGGAGGGTTATGATACAATAAACCAATTTTCAGGCACCATGACCCACAGAGAGCCAGGTGTTGGAGAAGCACACCAGCGAAGACCGTGCCATTCTTGCGCAATCAGCAGAAGACTGGTTTTCTGACCGCTTCACTGAGCTGACCCCAAGAGAGATGCTTGGATTGGCTAAGACAAACCAAGGTACTTTATAGCCGGACTGTAAGCCGCCACCGCACACCCCTTTGCACAAAGAATGAGATGGCAAATATCTTGGGGGGTGGGGGGGTGAGAAGCTTGGCAGCCTTACTGAGCCAGCTCATTAGCAAACCCTCCTTCCATCTGTACATGTGCAGAATGCATTCCTTGCCCCTTGCTCCCCGCAGCTGAGCCAGCATCTTTCAACGCCAGCAGGTAAATGATCCGATCACGCAAGGACCGAGGAAAGAAATTACTAATCCCTCTTCTTCTTTCCCCCGGATTTATGCATTTGCAGCAAAAAGGGCATCCGGTCTGGTCTTCTGCACCAACAAATCAATCCAGGGGAAACTTAAAAGGACACGCCAGCTTCTCCCTTACCTTGACGGATGCTTCTTTTCAGAAAAAGCAGGTCCCCGTGGTTGGTCTTTTCAGCAACGCCGCTTTGGTCCATGCATGATGTCCAGAAGGGAACGGAGGGAAACAAAGCAAACTGAGGCGGGAGACAGAAATCTCCTTTCTGCTGCCTTTTGCCGGCTCCAAGGAGGCTTCAGTGAGATTTGGATGTGATGCGGAAGAAAATTCCAACTTGCAAGGAGGGAGGGGTATTGGGGGAATGCCAAGAAGAGGAACACATGCACAGCTTCACTCGCTCTTACACACACACACACACACACACACACACACACTTCTGACCTAAGTG